CTTTGGATATCTCTCCTCTGCCCCCCTCAGAGTTCTACTATAGTAATATACTGGTTATTAAGCTTTATCTCACTCCCTAACTAGTGCTGCGCTGGTTGAGAAATATGAGACAGCTAAATAAAGAGTAAGCATTTCCCCTTCTAAGGGGCTTACCAGGACAGGGGGAGAGTTTAGGTACTCCTTCAGTGCTTTGAACGCTTCCTCACACCGGATATTCCACTAAAAAGCCTTCTTCAAAACCTGAAAGAAAGGTTGGCACTTGTCACTTGCTTTGGATACAAAATGACTCAATGCGGCTATCCTTCTTGTCAAGCGTTGGATCTCCCTGATGTTGAACGGTGGTCGCATATCCAGAACTGCCTTAACCTTTTCTGGGTTAGCCTCGATTCCTCTGTTGTTGACTATGAATCCCAGAAATTTCCCTGCTGATACTCCAAAGGTGCACTGTGTAGGGTTGAGTCTCATCTTGTACTCTTTGAGGATTTGGAATGATTCTGCTAGGTGCTCGATGTGCAGCTCTGCCTTCAGTGATTTTACCAACATGTCGTCGATATAGACCTACATGGATCTCCCAATTTGCTTCTGGAACATTCTATTCACTAGGCGCTGATAGGTGGCTCCAGCATTCTTCAATCCAAAAGACATGACCTGGTAGCAGTAAGTTCCTTGTTCAGTCACAAATGAAGTCTTCTCCTAGTCCACCGGGTCCATCATGATTTGATTATAACCTGAGAAAGCATCCATGAAGCTGAGGAGCTCATGCCCAGCAGTTGCATCCACGATCAAGTCGATTCGAGGTAAGGGAAATCTGTCCTTGGGGCATGCTTGATTGAGATTAGTGAAATCAATACAGAGCCGCCATTTCCCATTGGTCTTCTTGACTAGCACCACATTCGACAACCAGGTAGGGTAGTCCACCTCTCTGATGGCTTTGGCGTGGAGGAGTATACTGACCTCCTCGTTAATTGCCTTCTGGCATTTCGGAGCAAAACTTCTCCGCTTTTATTTAACAGGTTTGCAAATGGGATTCACATTTAACTTGTGTGTGATGATTGAGGGGTCAATGCCTTCCATGTCCTCTTGCTTCCAAGCGAACACCCCCAAGTTCTTCCTTAGAAACTGGGTGAGTAGGTCTTTCATTTCTTTGCTCAATTTAGATCCCACTTAAATAATATGTTCAGGCTCCTTATCGAGCTAGACTGGCTCTAGCTCTTCTGACGGTATGGGCCTGGTGTCCAGCTCATCCCTCATGTCAAGCTCATCTAGCTGGATAGTTTCAACTTCTTTCTGCTTTACCGAGGCCATGTAGCACTCCCTAGCTATTCGTTGGTCTCCTCGGACCATTCCAACTCCATTTTCTGTAGAAAATTTTACAACCAAGTGATATGCTGAGGGGATAGCCTTCATTGCATTGAGAGATGGTCTTCCAAGTAGTATGTTGTATGCAGAAGGGGCGTCAACTATCAGGAATTTCACAGTGGTGGTGGCTTGACAAGGAGGGTCCTTCATAGTGAGCACGAGTTGGATGGATCCCAGGGGTAGCACCCTCTCCCCTGAGAACCCCTTTAAGTGAGCATTCACTCGCTCAAACTTCTCCCTTCCTACGCCCATTTTGTCAAAGGCAGAGGCAAAAATGATTTTGGCTGAGCTCCCATTGTCAATTAGAACTCGATGAATAGTTTGGTTTGCCACAATGGCCCTTACGACCAACAGGTCATCATGGGGATACTGACAGTCTTCCAAGTCTGAATCCGAGAAAGTGATGGTTGTGCTCAACCGAGGCATTTTGGACACAGTGTGTACTTTCAACGCTTCTCCAGCTCTGATTCTGCACAGGTGTGCTTTCTTGGCTGCACTGGATTCTCCACCGCCAACAAATCCTCTTGATATCACTCTGATCTCCCCTAAGGGTTGCTGGTGCTGCGTAGGGGCTTGTTGATGGGGTGTCGGTGGTGACGGAGCCCTATTCTGGTTGTCATGGGCGATAAATCGTCGTAACTGTCCCCTCTGGATCAAGAACTCGATCTCCTTCTTTAGCTGGATGCACTCGTCAGTATGATAGTCATGATCCCTATGATACTCGTAATATTTCGTAGGGTCTCTTTTAGACGGATCTGCCTTCATTTATGGAGGCCACCTTAGAAATTTCTCGTTCTGCACCTCGTATAGGATCTGGGATACTGTCGCTATGAGAGGGGTATATTGTTGAGGTGTATACCTCGGCTGTAGTTCAGGCTGCAGGGGGCCTAAGCTGTCCCTAATGTTCCCCCTTCTTTTTGGTGATCGCTCTTTGTCTCTTCTGGGAGATCTATCTCTCTTTGGAGATCTGTTTCTTTCTCTCTCTCTCTCTTGGGACTTCGGTTCCTTGTTTTCTCTTCCTTTCCTTTATCTTTATGTGCGGAAGAACTTCTTTGTCGTTTATGTATTTCTCTGCTTTGGCAAGCACCTCGGCCATGCTTGCTTGGGGATTTTTTGATATGGAGAACATCAAATCTTTAGACTGCACCCCTAGACCAACTATGAAGGCAGTGATGGCGAACTTTTCGTCTAGGACATCCACCTTTAACGACTCTGAATTAAATCTTTGGACATACGACCTGAGGTTTTCTTGTAGTCCCTGTTTCACATTCAAAAGGTGATAGCTCGGCTTTCTATAGGTTCAAGCCTCTATGAAGTGGGATACAAAGGAAATGGAAAGCTCTTTGAAGGAAAAGATTGAGGCTGGGGGGAGCATGTTAAACCACGTCAAAGCTGAACCCTTCAAAGTGATGGCAAAGACTCGACAGCGTACGGGATCCTGATACCCGTGTAATTTCATCTGGTTCTTATAAGTATTGAGGTGGTCCATGGGGTCTCTGGTTCCATCAAAGGACTTTATCTGAGGCATCCTGAACTTTGGTGGGAGGGGAAAATGCAACACCCCAGGCGTGAATGGAGATTCAGTCTGTCGCACCAAGGTGTCCATTATAACTGGAGCTTTACTCTTGACTGCTTCTTTTATGTGGCTGAGCTCCTGCTAGATGCCCTTGAAGCGTTGCTCCCAATACTGTTCCCTTCTCTCCTGCTGATAAGGGAAGACATCATTCTTTTCACCTTCAAGATTTTGACTTTGTACTTCTTCATTGTGACCGTTCCTAGGGGGTAGTTGGGGAACCTGCCCCAAGGTCTGGCTGTTCTCCCCCCCCCTTCGTTGTCTTCTCTGAGTGGATCAAGGTGTTGTTGGTCCCTGTAGTGGGGACTGTTCTGATCTTCTTGGGCCGGACGTGCCTCCTGTGGGCACTACAAGAGCTTCAAGAGCTCCTCGTTTTGCTTTATCAAGCGTTGATTAATGAGGCGAAGGGCCTCCATCTCGTTATTTGTGGGGGGATTCCCCCTGGGAGGATCAGTCTCTAGGACGTTCTTGAGCTGTCTGTCATTGGTGGCTCCCTGTTGGTCCTGCTTCTGAGATGGGTTTGTTTGGCTTCTGCTCATGTTTCGTGTTGACACCATCAGTCACTGAAAAATCAGCTTATTTGTAACAGGAACAGTCGTTCCCACAGACGGTGTCAAACTGATGGTGTAAATCAACGTGGATGAGCTTAAGGTGCAAGTAACGTGAGATAAGCGTGGATTAGAGCTTCGAGGCTCATGTATGATACTACAATAAAATATTGAGAGGATTAAAGGGGTGTACACAGTGAAAATATAGTGGTTCACCGGCTTAGGAGCTCGGCTAGTCCACTCTTCAATGAAGGTTCTTGCTCATTTTCTTCTCTATTGATTAGTTGAATGTAACACTAGACAGTGCTAAACGGATTAGGGTTTTTCTCCTTTTATTTTTCCTCTGCCTATCACGTTGAGGCGTTGCGTAGTTTTTATAAGCCTACCCCCTATTTCGTGGGATTTCGGCCGAGATCTTTGCCCATTATTCATGGGATCCTCCTTAATTTTAGGAGAGAATCTTGGTTGGTTGAAAATTTCACGCATGAAGCCTAATTTTCGTAGTCATCCAGCTGTTTCCTGGTCGGTTCAATTACGATCTCCCCAAGGGGAACTCCACCCGTGGTTCTCTGAGTTCCTCGTATCTTTCCTGACCTCCTGACCCGACCTCCTGACCTGACCTCACAGCTATGGCTTGTTTGAGGTATCATCAGTGACAAACTTATTTAACTGGTAATGTATGAAGTAAATGATAGGTTTTTTTTCATTTGTTCATCAGATGTAATTTGAATCTTGCAAAATTAGAGGGTTTTTTGTATGGCTTGATAGCATAAAGATGACATGGATTTATAGTTCATGGAGTCTATAGATGTTGTGTTTAAGAGAGCAAAGAGTTATAGTCTCGAATTTTTGTTTTATGAATAATACCTGCGACTTATCAGTCCAAACAACCATACGATTAATCACCGGGTTCGTCTTGGGACATCTACCGCGAAGCACAACCAGTAGTAATTAAATGGCAGAGCATCATCCATGCAGCAATGCTAGTAGTAATTGAGAAAGTTGAATACAGAGAGCGGCTGTTCAATCCACGATTAACCCTAATCACCAAAACAACAGGGTTTATATGTCCTACGCACTGGGCTGTATAACGGGCCCAAAAAAGTTTTCCTCGGCCCAAGCCTTCGCTCCATGGACTAAGCCTCAGAAAATTTTCCATTAATAACCACACAACATTACTTCGGGTCGGGTCATCATCCGGATCACATATACAAACTAGACTCCATAAAAAAAAAACCAACATTTGTGACTATTTCTGATTGGGTGTGAAAGATAATATATGCTATGACCTACAGTTGACTAACCATTCCTAATATTTTTTTTGGGTAAGTAACCATTTCTAATGTTGACATTAGATGAACGTGAGTAAAATTTTTTTGGGAATCAATGCAGCAATCAGATCTCAATATTTTTATCTCCTCTATGTTATTTTTCAGGTGTCAGAAGAGTAAATCAGATGCTTATGATTGCCTATAGGATGCTGAACATTGTGGAATATTGGGGGTTTGCAGTACACATACCATATTTGGTGGGATTATTGATTCTGTCGTCAAGCCAATTGTAAAAATAGGAATTGCTGTATTTGAAACCCATGAATAGATGTTCAATTCTTGTTAGGACAGCTTTCAAAGCATTATTATGTGCCAACGCGAGAGTAGAAGCCTCTTCAAAACAACTGCCTTCATTAGATTTGGTGTTGAGGGCTCTAAGGGCTGGTAAGCAACCCAGTGGTGGCAAGCTTAGGAAACCAAACTTTCTACCGCCTTTCTCGTGCAATTCCTTGAGTCATTACAAGCAAAAATGAGTCAGTAACCAGGCATCGCAAGATCAACATTCCAATCAAACCTTAAACTAGTTTCAATTACAAGGAACATATAGAAAAAAGGCAAAAGGTGTAAGCTTACTTGGATTGCTTGTGTCAACCTCCCAATGATCATCCCAACATATTCTTCGGGAGGATGCTGTTCCTGCATTCTTGGATTACCAAGATAACCACCCATATAATCATTACTTCCAATGCTAATGAAATAAACTGCTTCCGATAGAAGCTCCTTTGTTTCTGCATCTCCCAAATTCTTTGTTAGTGAATTTTGCACCTCTTCAAAGTGTTTGAGTTGTGTCTTAAGATCAATGGCCTAACAACAGCGGAAAATTCACAAGTTGAGTAGAAAATTTTAGTAGACGGATGACGAAGTTGGTTTATATATTTGAACGGCACACCCTGATTGACAATTGATTTTGGGTCTAACAATCGTGTTGATTTGTACATATTGTTGAACTGTGTAAATGGTTAGTGATGGAAGGAATTCCTTACCTGGCCTTGATTGGTGGTAGAAAGAATTCCAGCCCCTCCAGAGGCAAAGTTGACTCCATTCACGTGAGCTTTTGACCCATCTCATGCTTTTTTAAAAAAAAGTCCTAAATAATGGTGATTTTGAAAGCAATTCTCAAATGTAAACAGTTTTTAAAAACGTCAAATAAATTGGCGTTTTTAGGCTAAAAACGTCAAATGGACTGACGTCTTTATCCTAAAAACGTCAGTCCATTTGATGTTTTTTTGTCCAATACTATAGATCAACCTAAGAACTTAAAAACGTTAGTCGGTTTAACATCTTTATAATAGACGTCAAACTGTTTGACGTCTTTAACCCCTCGCATCTGAACATTTCAATCCATGTAGTGTAGTCGCAATCTTTGACCTTTAAGTTGGAGTATAGCAAACAAATGAGTTTATTTTTATGTTGTTTTAATTTATATAATTATCATAACTATCTATTAGTTTAGATAATTATTATAACTGCCCCAAATTTTTATCTTGAGTTTTAATTTAGTCCTTAGTGATAGGGTTTTTGCCTTTTTTTTATGAGTAAAATGTTAAATGTTTATTTAATAAAAAAAATTAATTAATAAATAAATTTTGATATTTTAAAAAAAGATAAATTTTTTTTGTTATTTATTTATAAATGTAATTAAATTTAATAAATAAATTTTGATAATTTAAAAATACTTAAATTTCTGACGTTTAACACATCACTCCACCGTCGGTCCATCTCATTCAAATTAGGCTATTTTATTTTATTTTTTGCTCCTTTTTTTTGTAAAAAGTCACATTATTTGTTTATCACTCTACTTAATTTGGGTAATTATCATAAGTGACCCCCAAATTTTACTCTCAGGTTTTAATGTAGTCCATAAAATTGTAATTCTTTTAATTTAATCCATTAATTATCAATTTTATTTCAATTAATTATTTTCCATTAATTTTCATCGTCATATTCAGGATTAAAAGCTTTTAAATCTTTCCATTAAAAGCTCAAAATTTTTAGCTCCCTCTCTTTGTGAGAGGATGAGTTTTTTTTTATTGAATTAAAAAATTAATTACATTAAATAAATAAATTTTGATAATTTAAAAATACTTATATTTTTTTAGCATATCTTTAAAAATTAAAAACATATACATATAATTAAATTTAAGGTCCCATACAAACTATAAGCATTACACCCAACACTTTCTCCTCTAGAAGTATACGTTTTGAAAAAATATAAATTATTCAGAACGTATAAATGAAAAAATAAGATGTCAACAACGTGGTTAATATTCAAAACAACATAAAGGATTATCGAGTATACATAAACATGATGGGATAAAAGTGTTAGACGCATCATTGTCCAAATCAAAGAAATTAGAAAGTTCAGGATCAGAAACAAGTAACGGATCCTCTAAAATTTTAATTTCGGCATATTCATGATCAAAATGCTCTATTTTAGCATAATCGAGTGCATGAAAACGATCAATGCGACACTGCATTTGATCATTTTTCACGTTGAAGCCTTGAAATGACCTCGTCATGATTGTTTGAATTCTGTGAATTGTAAATATCAGCCGAATTATATGGGTGCTGCTGGGTTGTGCAAGTTGGTGTAGGGTGGTGCTACTGTAGTATAGTGTGGTGCTGGGAAGGTGGGGCGCAGTGGCTATGTAGGATGGTGGTGGGGTGGTGCTGCGATGGTGGGGGTGTTGCGTCTTTCGGTGGTGGTGGTCGCTGGAAAATTGGAAATAAACATTAAAACTCGAGAGCAAAATTTAGGGGTCACTGACAATTACCCAAATCAAGTAGAGTGATAAACAAATAATGTGACTTTTTACAAAAAAATTAGCAAAATAAATAATAAAATAGCCCAATTTGAATGAGATGGACTGGCGATGGAGTGATGTGTTAAACGTCAGAAATTTAAGTATTTTTAAATTATCAAAATTTATTTATTTAATGTAATTAAATTTATAAATAAATAACAAAAAAAATTATCTATTTTTAAAATATCAAATTTTTTTTATTAAATAAATATTTAACATTTTACTCATAAAAAAAGGCAAAAATCCTATCACTAAAGACTAAATTAAAACCCAAGATAAAAATTAGGGGGAAGTTATAATAATTATCTAAACTAATGGACAATTATGATAATTATATAAATTAAAACAACATAAAAATAAATTCATTTGTTTGTTGTACTCCAACCTAAATGTCAAAGATTGCGGCTACACTGCACAGATTGAAATGTTCAGACGCAAGGGATTAAAGATGTCAAACGGTTTGACGTCTATTATAAAAACTTTACATCGACTAAGGTTTTTAAGTTCATGGGCTGATCTACAGTATTGAACTTAAAAACGTTAAATGGACTGACGTTTTTAGGATAAAGACATCAGTTCATTTGACATCTTTAGCCTAAAAATATCAATTCGTTTGACATTTTTAAAAACTGCCTGTATTTGAGAATTGCTTTTAAAACCACCATTATTTGAGACTTTTTTTTTTTTTTTTTGAAGTCCCGTGGTATGTGTTAAAAGCTCCCATTCACGTATTCAGCAGAGGGTTGTAAAAATGGAGGAATTAGTGGCAAGTTGGCATATTCAGCTAGATGGATCACCATTCACCACCATATATACCATCCGTCAAGTTATGAATATGTGATCGATCCCAAAGTCATCAGCCATAATCGAAAGTTAAGTTGTCAAGCAATTAGATAATCGTAATCTCTTTCCAAGAAATTCATTACTAGATAGTTGAATAATTAATTAATTATATGTATGTTGTGATTACCTACCTATATAATCAACTATAATGCGGCCATCAGAGAAGCGTCCAGTGGGTTCTTTAAAGAAGCCATTTTGGGCGAAAGGCTTGTAATTTCCCGGGTTCTCAGGGCCGTTGTCGATGTAGTTATTGTTGCCAGAGTCCACGAAAGGAGTCGCCGAAGATGAAAAAAGCGGTGCCGGTCTTGATCTCCGAGGGACCACCAGATGCCTTGAGACCAACTGAGAGTAACAGAGTCGCATAGGCGAGCAAGAAGCCAAAGTGAGACATTATTAGTCTGCTCTCCATTTTCAAGGATAATGCTGTAGCTACCTTTCTGCACCTTGAAACTACTCCTTATATATTATATTATATTATATTACCGGTTAATCTTCGTGACCGAAGATATGTATAATTTTTAAAACAAATATTGCCAAAAAAAACCAAAATTCATTGCAATAGGTGTATACATCCATTAGAGCATTGAATATTAGCATAGTTAAAATTCATCTAGACTAACCAGCTTAATTTAAAAATTACAATAAAATACCCACCAACTATAAAAAATATGTTGTGTATTGTCCCACCCATAATTGAAAAGGACAAATATTTAATCAAAGATTAGGTGAAATTTAAAGATTAGATACAACAAAGCAACCATTTTTATCCATCTACTTTCAATTGCATTTCATCAGAGTTGAATAGAGTTGAAGTTCTTTTTTTTTTCTTTCAATAAATTCTTTTCATTGCTATTAGAGATTAGATTCTTTAAATTGTATACTGACAACCAATCAAAATTAAGGAATTACACAAACTCAGTGGAAATCCTCAATATTGATTTATGTGTTCATGTAACTCCTCAATTTTGATTGATTGTATGTAAATATTTGTTTACAGGCTTGCCTGTAAAGAATTTAATCTCTTGTTATTATTCCTTCAAATCAAGATTCAACCTGCTCAATGCACATAATTAGAAAAGTGATCAAATCACGATTGCCCATATCAAGATGTTGCATAACTTATAATCCCTTATCTTGAATGTAGAAAAAGACATAGATTTTATTGGGAAAAAAAACTCAAATATCCCAACATGCAAGAATAGTGTTCCATAAACACATACCATATAGCTTTAACTATATAGATAAAATCAAGTCATAGCATAAAATATCTAACAAAAATTTTCACTTGAATTGAATCAACCAAAAACAGTAGTCAATATATTGCATGATTTATGTACCTATTTCGGTTGGTACATTTACTACATTTGAGGTGCCATTGATATCTGCATTTGAAAAAGCAGATTGTAAAACAATGAGTGACCCAAAACAAATATTGAAAAATATAAGGATTAATGAAAAGTTTAAAAATGAAATCTAGAGTAAGGAATTATCAAAGTAACAGGTTTATGCACACTTTTGCACAATGCAGTGAGTAACTGCCCCGCATGAGGGCAAATTACTACAAACAGTGAAGGAATTTCTTAAACATATGTATAAAAGCAAAGAAACATGATCTACAATGGTGGAATAAATAATCAACCTCTGATCTAAGAGAGAAACAATCAATAATCAGTGAGCTCAACAATAGGAGGGAGTAGAATGAAATTATTGATGCATTGCCTACCCAATAGAATGAAACAAACATACGACCAATTTAAGAGACAAATAAAGAATGATTACATCCAAAATATTAATCAAAATTCTAACAAAAAGGGTCGTAAATTTGATTGTAGAAATGTCTAGATAACAAATATTTGGTTGAATAGCCTTCCTTACAGCACAAAATTAAATTTGATCTCCAACAAAGTGACGTTAAGTAAAGTAACCAAACAATTAAGCAGAGAAATAAAACTCCATTTTCTTACTAAATTAGAGTCAACAACTTATTACTTCGTATATACATTGTACTCCATCAATAATCAAACCACATCTACAAATTCAAATGCAATTGTAATTTTTCACTTTGTTATTGCATCACACCCAAGCCAATTGTGCAACAACTCTAATAAAATTTATCTTACAACTCAAAAAAAAACCTATGTTTACAAAAAAAATCAATAACCCAAACACAAATATTACATGTGATAGAAATAACCAAACGAATCAAACAAAAATGGGGTAAAATAAATTATACATTACAACAAATGATAATCCAAAACTTTTTTGTGCTTCTCGCTTTCATGCACAATGAATTGCATCCAAATCGACTCTAGAAATAAAAAATTGTTTTCAAATAATTCAGAGCTTCCAACTACTTACAGGAAAATAAAAAGTAATTAAGAAACAAAATCACCACATCACTGGGAATAAAGAAATTTTTATCAATGACTATGCATACAAATCTAGAATAAAATATATAGATAGTTCGATTTAAGCTCCTGAATATTTTTGAACCCAAACCTTGACTTTACCTCTAGTCATGGAAGGTCAAACAAAGTCATTGGCATAGTCTTCACCTCCTCTCATTGCTAATCCCTTCGCCAGAGTCCGACTCTCATATTAAAAGACAGACCAATTATACACACTCATATAAATGTGATTAGATGTGCTATAAAAAATTGGAATATGACCTGGTCATTTATTAAAAATAAAAAATAAAAAAGGAAAGGAAATTTTAGACTTCAAAGACAAATCTTTGCACTAAATTAGTTAATCATATGAATTTGAGTTGCTTTTATTCGAGCAATATACAAACAATTTGTCTCTGCGTGAAAATCACACAAATTCAATAATTCATGAAAAACATGAAGCAACAATCTTAATTAAATAGAAATCTAGAATTATATAATCTAAATAAACTCCCAACTTATGAGTACAGGATTTACCAATACAAATAAAAAAAATAGAAAATATGTTCTGAGGCATAAGGTGATGTGGCATGACACTAAACTTCTTAAGATCTAAAAAACTAATGAATTCAATCAACAAAACCCACAAAATAATAAAAATATGCATAAGCAAATAACTTTTTACTGCATTGGTGAAAAGTATAGTGAGCATAATAATCCCAATTCTCATAAATAGATCAAATTGATAAAAAATTTAAAAATAATAAAACTTATAATAAATAATAAAGAGAACCACACAGAAATAATAACTAAAAAATCCACCGACATCAAACAACAAACCTACAAAGAGGGAGGAGCATCATTGGTTGGTGTTGTGAGCTGGTGTGGTATGGGCTAGAGCAGTGGGATTTTGGGATGGCAAGAGAGTGAGACCAAGAGAGACTCTCTGTTATCACCTAGACCACCACGCATTCCTCATCTTGCTATTCCCAAGAGAAAACAGGAAACCATTGATTTTAGTAACAACAAAACAAAATAAAATATAATTTTATCTAAAAGGCTTCATGTTGCTTCATTTTTCTCAAGAAGGATTAAAAAAACTCATCTCAATTTAGTTAAACACATGATTTAAGGTCACATTCTGTAAAAAATTGTTTTCTGAAAAATTGTATTAACCAAAAACTTTAATCTAACAAATTGTGTACTTAGAAACATAGTAAATCAAAAAGGATATTTTAGAGAAAATGAAGGTATATACCAATGGCAATGAATAATTCCTGCACAAAAATGGGGAACCCCACATAACAAAATATAAAGAATCACACCAGCACTCCATATATCAACATCTAACTCATAGTTTCACTTCAAAAGCTTTGCTGCCGCATAGTAGGGTGTACCCAAATCCCTGAAAAAGCCAAGAAATCCGAATCAAAATTAGCAAACTCCCATCACCAATCTCAAGTCTCATAAAGCAATTCAATCAACTACAAAAAGAAAAAAAATCATCATCATCAAATTCAATCAACACCCAAATGAATACATGTCAAAAAATAATTTAATATATAAAATAATCCAAACCAAACAAAGTTACACAAACCAAATACAAAATACATACACACAGTAATTTAAAATTTGTATGTAAGTGTGTGGTTCAGAGATACTGCGATCTTGGAGTGGTTTCGGTGAGGATGATTTAGCGGTGTGTTTGGGTTTAGTGGTGGGTCAGGCTTGGGGGTATCAATGGGGCTCATTTGAGGGTTTGGGGTTTCGGTGTGATTAGAGATGCTGTGATCTTGGAGTGATTTTAGTGGGGCTGGTTTGGCGGTGGTTTGGGGGTTTAGTGGTGGGGGTGGTTTGGGGGTTTTGATGGGGGTCGATGTGAGGTGGTTAGGGGGATATAGTTGGTGTTGTTGGTGGTTCTCTTAAAGCTCATTGGTGGTTGTCGTGGAAGTGGGTAGGGATAAGAAGCATAAGGAGAATGAGGAGAGGAAGGAGTACCTTGGTGGTGGTTCCAGTGGTTATTGGGCGGTTGGTCTTTGGTAGCTCCGGCTTGTAGAGAGAGAAGAGAAAAGAGAAAAGAGAGGGGCAAGAAAGAATAGGGCAACACAGGAGTGAGAGAGGAGAATGATACGAGAGAAGATTTAACAGATAAACTATGAGACCATAAGAGATGTAGAGGTGGCGACAGTGGTGGTAGTGGTGGCGACGACAGTGGTGGTGGTGGTGGCGGTGGCGGTGGTAGTAGAGTTAGTGGTGGGGGCGGATTCAAACATTATTTTTTTTAAGTATTTATGAGAAATAATTTCTAAAAGTACTTTTAAAAAGTCACTCTAAACACACCGTTAGACCCTTATTTTTTCTATTAAATTTAGGGTATTAATATTATCCGTTAGATTAATTTAAAGTAAAATTTAAAGCGATCTCAACCGAGAATAGCAAAAGTCATTTTGTTTATATTTTGAAATTTGAATTGTAAGCAACTTTATTTAATCTTTAAACATTTGTAAGCTACTTTAAACATTAGGATCTTTTAAAGCGATCGATGCTTAAACCAAATATTTTTGCTCTTAAATTACTTCTAATGGGTTTCTATGGCAAGACCTCATTTAACACTTTTCCCCCAAGGCGTGTGTTTTCATTTTTCCTTTGTTTTTTAAAGCACTTATCTTCATGTTTTCAATATTTGGGGATGCTTACAAAACAAACTAGCCAAAAAGAAAAAAAAGAAAAACACTCTAAATATATTTTTGTTTCTTATTTTTTGAAAAAATTGAAAACAAAAATAGAAAAAAAGGGAAATAGTTTGTTACCAAACGTAACCTATAATGTTTGGTTGCCAATAGAACCACAATTAGGTTTACTGAATTGAAGAAATTTCAAAAAATAAAAAATAAAAAATTAATTTCGACGTTTGTCTAAAACGTCGAGAAATAGTAGACATGGACTTGTATTCCCAATGTTTAAAATAAAAATCTC